AAACCCGGCGGCAACGATGCCGGTGACCACCAGACTAACACCCCTAGTACACCTCGACCCCCTAAACACGGATCTACAAACCATAGGTCTCGAATCTTCCCCCACCATCTCAAATCTTTGTTTGAAGATTCAAGCCGGACCCCAACTTATGCCAAACCCCTCCAAATCCCTACCAGGTACCCCCCTAACCTCCCTCGTGACCAAACCAAGCTTGGTTTGGTCCGAATCTAACCAGAAAGCCCCAAGTCCCAAATCAAGCCCAAGAACCTTAGAAATTTAGAATCTGAAGTTTTGTCCAATTAAACGAGAAGGTTGGGGTCTAATAGACCTTAATCGAAGTGTTCTCAGTTGAGAACACTTCGATTAAAGTCCGTTCAACCCCAAAAGAGGTTCGATTCAAAATCCGAGACATGGTCGTCTGATTTTCAATTCTTTAAGGTATTTTTCTTTTCCTTGCTAGTTCATGTTGTTTGTTTTGTTAATGTTTGTTCGTGTGTTTAAATGTTAGTTGATTTGTTTTTATTTTGGTCGACTATTCTGTCCACCTTGCCCGGACCTTTTATTTGGTCGAGTTTTCTCTATTCACTGATTGAGTGTATGTGTGTTAAACTATATAATCGATTGAAATGAATTTGGTCGATCAATTAGTTTCCAGGGCAACTTTTGTTTTGGGCAGTACAATTTGAATCACCTGATTAATACTATTGGATTCTAACCATTTGCTACTAATTGTGTGGTTGTAATTCGCGTAGTCGATTCGATATATGTCGTCAATTAGTTTAGAATGGTAGTAATTTGACTCGTGTTGTTTGTTTTCTGCTGAAGCTTCGTTTGAATCCAATTAAGAATTGAGTATAGCTGCTTGTAGTTTGTTCAGTTTGAGTCAAGAACCACTTAAGGATTGGTTATACCTGTAATTTTAATGAAAGTTTCAGAGTTTAAGTTAAGTGGACTGCCAGTTTGAGTATGGATTGAACCATTAGAATAATCTATAGTGCAAATACACCTTGGCTGACATCTTTACAGATGAGAGGTCAGATGTAAGATGAGTTTAATAATAAAAGGCTGAAAATGCACATGGAAATGATGGTGGAACCTGATGTACAGTAGGATATGCACTACATT